CTTTATGATCTCTCCTTAAACTTTCCACCCTTTGCAATGTGTTTGCCACTAGCATGAGAGCTAGGAGCATAAGACTGCAATGATGCCAAGTTTCTACATTTTTGTGTGAAAATATATAACCCAGATTTTAATCAAAATCCTTGTGGGAGTAATTTTTGTTTTAAGTTCTTTCAGTAATCAGTATATTGGGTCATATAAAAACAAAATGGTAGAAACACCAACATTAATCAAAATGGAAATGAATGTAAACCTGAGTGACGACAACAACAAATACAGCAGAATAGATAAAATGTATTGAATTAACCAATTCACATTCTGTACAGTCTGGGGAAATTTATCTGATGCCATGTAGCAGGTGCCCAACAAGAAACCAGATGCTGTGACTGAAAAACCCTTTTCTCCAGTCCCTTGCCTACTTTTAGATGGTAGGGACACCTGAATGAAGAGTGTCAGATGATGAATATGTTGTTTAGGCAGGTAAGTGCCATAAAAAAGTTGCCCTTTAAAATCTACACACTTAACATGTAGTTAAATTCCCAATATTCTCCTGGAAGACAGGTATGAAAGGTGATAGGTATCACAATCCACCATGTTTAATAACGAGCTTCTGACCAGACATATGTAACATTCTACTCTGCAGTTGTTTTAAGATTCTCACCCCAGTCCACATTTGCATCTAGTTTCACCCATTTGACCTTTGACCCCACTAGAATCTGGCTCATGACAACTTCTCCACATGGCACAACCCACTTGTTCCACTACGTATTTAATGGAAAATTGCCATTGGCATGATGCTGTCATCCACTTACTATCATCTTGCATTTTCCCTGCATTTTTACTGTCCTCTTGGGTAGCAGAAACTCATAGTTTGTTCAGAATAGAAGAGCAGCACAGCCTATACAGGATTAGATGCTTCAATGCAATTCTTCTGTCCCTTTTTTGAAAGGATTATGGTTTTGATATCAGAAAAGTGAACCTGTCTGTGTTCAATGCACACTCATCATAATCTTTGTGGTGGGTGCCATTTTATGTCTGCATTTATATTTTTAAAGAGAGGTAAAGTGCTATGACACCATAATGTTATAATGTTAACTTTCTAATTTCTTTTAATGTGTCTTTCTAGACAACACATTAACCATGTTGGTAAAGGGGCAGTGGCCTGAGCAATTAGTCACTTGTAAACATTAGAATTATTATATTCCTCATTAATGGGAACATAATGTCAAAAAGCAGCAAACTCAAACTATTTAACATTTGCTTTGATTGGAAGTGCACATTGCAACTGTTTAATTTTTAAAAAAATATGCTAAATTGGATTAAAAAGTAGGGAGTCATTTCTTACAGTACTTCAAAAATTAGCATTATAGTATAATGCTCTTAAACGCTACCTTACCAATACTGTAATTATTCTGGTATTATAGCATTTGTTGTCATAGTGTGCTTCCTCTTTCCTTTGTAGGTACCTTACCTTACCCTAGATTTTTGAGTGATCCACTTGCCCACTGCAAGAAGCATATCAACGTGTGTTTATTTTGACAGTAGATGTCTTCTTCCTTGCATTGTCATATCTTTCCACTGTCTTTCCCTACTTTGTCTTCTGATTGTAAACCTGCTTCTTCTGATTCCTCTCCTACTGCTAAACATCAGTAGCTAAACAATCTTTAGATATGGCTGCTCTAAACAATGATATTATGTTGTTTTCAACCCATTCTCTAAGGTTTTTTTTTCCTGCCAAGCCTTTCTCTATCTTTCCACATTTCTTTTCCATTTATTCTACCTTGTATAGTCAGTTGCAATGGTCTATATTGTTATTTCTCACTCTATAACCAAATATTTTAGTTTTCTGCACTTTGCATTTTATAATTTCTTGATTTATATACATTTATCTTTGGTAGCTCAATCCCTGAGATTTTTGATGGTACTCAAATTTGAAGGTATGTATATTTATCAATCTTCTTCACATTTTCATTTTGGGTTTTAATTGTATGTACTGGATTACACATTTTTGCAAATTACCATGTGCTTGGTTTTTTAAAAATTCATTTTAGACTATGATTATTATACTTCACTGACTTTATCAAGTAATCTTTGTAGACCATCTTAATTGTCAGTGAATGATACTGTATGATTTGTATATTGGATGTTATTGCTAATCTGTACATTAACAATGCTATTCTTTAAATCAGCAAATACATCTTTAAAGATCTCAGAATTCAAATGAAAAAGCAATGATGCAAATATAAATCCTTTTTGCAATCCTCTTCGTATTTCTATATTCATTCTCATTTGATCTTCACCAGTACAAGTAGCATTGCATGTTGTATCTTGAATGAAGAGATTTTGTTTACCAACAACTCTATCATGTTTCATTTGGGCAAAAGCTTCCTCTTAGACAATAAATCAAGCATAATCACCCATGTACATACCCCAGCATCTTTGCCCAAGGACATGTAAACAGAACAATGCTTCACTGGTTCCATATACATTTCTGAATCCAAGTTGTATGGTCTTCTGCTCCCCTTTGCATTTCTTGTAAATCCTACCATGAGCAGATGGTTCAGCAGAGCTATTTTTTATAATCACCACAAACTTGATTGTCTTCTTTGGATAATGTAATAAACATTGATTGTAACCAAATTTCAGGAAAGTTATCAGTTTTATAGGTTTGAGTGAACAGAATCACTCAAACATTTAAATCATGTTATTCTATTAATTTGAATACTTCTGTGAAAATATCTAATCCATGGACTCTGCCATTTTTATTAGTTACTTTGCATTTGGAATTTCAGTTTTCTGTATTTCGGGTCCAATATTGTCTTCCACGACAGTGAATTGGAGTGTATTATCTTCAAATTCTTTAATGTAAACATTCCATGGTACAATTTACCCTTGACATCAGTAACTCTGCTACTGGTAGGCAGGTATAAATCTCCACCAGTCACTTTATTTCTTTAAATATACCTTCTACTTGTCCTTTTTAAATACATTAAAGAAATTGTGACTCTTTTCTAGATTGTCTATTTCTCTACATTGTTCAGTCCCCCATTTCTTTTCCATGATTTTATTTTGGATGTACTTTTATACTTCTTTATATTTGTTGTTTTCTTTATTTTTCTGTTTTCTTCCATACGTTCTAGTATGCCTATTTGTCTGTCTGTCATCCACTTTTAAAAATTTATTTATTAAACGTATATTCTGCTAAATTGGCCCTCTACTTTTAAAGTTATTACTAATCAGATCTAGTAGTACCTCTGTTAGTTTATAGCAAGTAGCATTTCTCTCTGAACAACTTCTATGTGCAATCCTATTGATATCTACAATATCAATTGAATCCCTTCCTTAACAACTGGGTTTATAATTGAAACACTCAGGACACAATACTGTAGCCTCCTAACATAGCCAGAGTCAGAGTCCCTTCAAGGGCTTTGTGTCCACCATCCCAGCCACCAGCTTTCTTCTGTGCCACCTGGGTTTCAACAACAGAGGACCACCTTCAGAGCTGACTTTTGAAGAACAGAGCAGGGATCAGTGAGTCCCACATTCCTGAAGAATCCCAGGAGTGTTTCAGACTCTCCTCCTAATGAGGTGAGGAAAGACTTTTGCATGCCTGAAATCAGCCATCTAAATGTTTTGGAGACTGAATGGAGCAATCCTAGCTTCTGTGCACCTCCCACCTTCCACTGGATACCCATAATCCTCCAAGTTAGGAGGGTTACATGCAGTCGCATTGGATTCCACCCTCCATTGCATAATTCCAATGCATTTTCCACTTTTCCTCTCCATATTTTATTTACAGCTACAGCAGGATTATGGTCCAAATTTATGTCAGCTCCTGGCTCCTGGGGGGATTGCAGCTATGTGCTAGTGAGCAGTTACCTTTTAAAGGAAAATTTGTAACCACCTTACAGCTACAAAACAATGTTTAACTCCCACATTCTACTGTCAGACCTCTACAATTTAGTAGTATTAGGGTGATTCTTTTATTTGCTTTTTGTAAAGACTGTAATAAACGACCCTAGTGTGAAGCAGTCATACTAGCTGGAACTCAGCAAAAAAACTCCAAAGGCCAACCTTCATTTACTAACTCCCTGGTCCTCGTTGTGGTCTCTATGTAAGTCTGTACAAGATGCTTTTATAAGTTACCAGTTACATACAGAGTTTGGAGGAGGAGTTGGATCAGGTGGGGGATCATGTATACAGTATGCTAGAGGCACATTGGAATAAAACAACAGGGATGAGCACAACACAAAAGAACCTTCAGAGAAGGCAGGTATTAGCATGTCTTAAGGTGTGCCCCAAAGGACAGGCCTTTCAGGACAGGGGCATTAGAAGTTTTACCTGGGAAGCAAGAATTGCTAATCAGATCAGGAATCCCATCCTAAGTCTTAAGCTGTTCTTACAGTGTTAGGCTCTTAGCAGCCATATTATGACAAAGCTTTTGCTTATTTTGCCTTCACATTACCAAAGACACAGGACAAGGAGCTGGCACTTTATTTAAAAACAAGATGAGCCTTGCTTGCTTACTAGAAAGAGAAGTGATAGCGAACACAAAATGTAGGTTTTCCCCGGATTTTGGTCGCGCTTTTAACACAAGGGAGGGTTACTGACAATCTGTGAAGGAAGGCGGGTGACGTTGAACGCTTCTTTACCAACGATGTTTCACCTGGCTGGGGACTCCGGCTAGACTGAGGTTCGTCATGCTACAACGGCACAGTAGTACGTGCTCCCTCCCCTGAGGAGGGCCGGGAAAAGGAGGATCTTCCAACGCATTGCAAGGCACTGCTGAGGACTACGACTCCCAAGAGACCTTGCGACAGGGCAAATGACGTAGTCTGTGGCTTCTTCCGATCTTCGCGTTCAGTGGTCTGACGCCATCTCTTCTTTTTGCCCATTGGCGACGACGTGAACGCGTACAGGCCAATGGGTTTGCGAGATAAATGGCTGACGGCGCAAGTGGAGTTGGCTATTGGCGGATTGTGGGTTGTGGAAGTGATCCGTAGCACGCGCACGGCGGTGTCATGCTGTTAATTGGCCGTGCTCGCTTGCCTGCATGGGCAAGAGAGCGCCATGGAGCGGGAAGAAGGCGAGGTAAAAGTGTTGCTTGGTTAACAGCAGTCGGGGTGGGAGAGAGTCCTCTGTTCTCGTCCTGCAGCTACCAGAGCGCGAGTGCATTCGTCGTCAGAAGGGAATGGATGTCTGCATAAGTGGCGTTCCTCCGCGGGACAGAGCCGCCCCCTCCTCGCTTCCCTCTCCGCAATTGTCTGAAATGAAGACAAGGGAGTAGTCCATGCAGGTTTAGACAGAAAGAGCCCCTGTAATTCCAAGTATTCTATAGCCAGCCATGCTGAGAACTGTGTTTTTCTCTATTATCCTCGATTAGTATGCCTTGCAATCGTAGAAATACTCAGTCCAAATAGAGAGGGCTTCCTGCAGAGAAATTGTGAAATAAAATTCACTCCTATTCGGGGTGTCTTTTACCTCTTCTGTGCCGTCCCCTTTTCATCTTATGTAATGTGTGTGTCACAACTATATTTTTTGGCAAAATATTTTAAAGGAGGCGGGGGAAGCTGCATTTTATGTACTTTGGAAGACTTCGCTTCCTTTCCCTCTTGTCACCATCCATGTGATTGATGCGTTATCCTGATGTATCCTGAACACATATAAGCCCCTTTTAGCCCTGGAATGCTAGGTCTACTAGAGTGTTGGCTCTACTTCTATTAGCCAGATTTTTTTTCAGTATGTGAAATCTCTGGATAAAACTTTTGTTCTTTCTTTTAGCAACTAGCTACTATTAAAACTAAGAGGAAGGTTGTGTGGTGAACTGTTCAGTAACAATAGCTGTTAACAATTATAACAATAACTGTTATAGTACAAGGAAGAAGCAAGGTAATTTCCAGATTACACGATTTCATGCTTAGACAGAAGACTTATGCAGATTAATGAATACGTAAGTCCTAGTGAACTCAGGAGAGTAACATCTGATATAAGTGCGTGTAAGGGATGGAAGTAAGGATAGGATTTGATTCTTTAACAAGTACTAAGGGATATTAATTGGGTTAGCAGTACAGAAAGTGGAATGCTTATGTAGAAGAATCTGGAATTAAAACTGGAAACAAAGTTAGCCATCTGTAGAGAAATGGTTCCAAATATGAATGAATTAGAGCTAAATGAGATTGTAGGGATAGGAGTCCACTGGTACAGTAGCTACTGATGACTTCCTGGTTAAATTGACTCAGTCAGTATGAAACTTGCATAGTATTCTTTTTGTTCTCCCACATCTCTTATACAAGATTGTATTTTCATGGCCTTCATGTTAATGTAGAATAAGTGCCTGCTCTCGTTCCATATTAACACATGCTTATGCTTGTGCTTATTAGAAATTTCAGTTCTCCCTTAAGCATGCATTGCCTGTTTGGAAAAAAAAGTCCTGAATCTGTTAATATGGCAGGATGTCTGAGATCAAAGAATTCTGTCTGACATAATCCTGAAATTGTACCCTTATTATAATTCTGAAATGAGAAAGATGGTATAAATGTTATTCTAGAAATGGATTGTGAATCCCCTCTTTTTGATATCTGAGGCTGCATGTATGCTTGCCCATCTTGTATTCCTGAGGACCAAGTTGTAGGGTTTCAGTTAGAAGCTTATAGCTATACTGGTGGGGTTTTTTTTTGGGGAGGGGGCATTCAAAAAGGTCTCTGCTACGTATTTGACACAATGATCTCACTGAATTGCAAAGCATCCCAACCTGTCATCTTTTTAGTTCAGGTGATTGGTAAGCAAATCTGCAAGAATAAATGGTTTCTACTCATGAAAAAGATCCTTTGAAACAAGGCTTGAAAAGTATATTTCTCTGGATGATGGTATGCACATTAGCAGTGACAAGTAATGACATGTGGTGCCACTTGCTATTCAGACAATTGTTGTGTTGTTTTGTGCCATCAAGTTTTCTCTGACTTGTGGCAGCCCAATGTATGAGAGCTCTCCAAAATGCATTATCCATGACAACCTCATTCAGCCCTTGTAAATTCATGGTGATGGCTTCCTTTATGTAGCCAATCCATCTTCTATTTGGTCTTCTTTCTTCTGAATTCTACTTTACCTAGCATGATGGTCTTCTCCAGGAAGTTTTGCTGTTTTTTAATGTTCTAAACAACATAGTGACAACACTGTCACTGAAAAGTTGCTCTCAGGATTCTGAACCTATTTCTGTCGCTTTTGCCAAAGCAATTAGACAATTAGATTATATGTACTTACCCACCTATATATGGTGGGGTGTGTTGGGGAGGAATGTTTATGCCAGGATGAGAGTAAATATTTGTTATAAAGCAGCAGAAGTAGGTGTTCCATAAAGTATTTGTTGAGCTTGTTTCATGCGTGGCCATAGTCTCACTTTTACAAAGAATTACTGAACATGAATACTTTTTCTTCTTTTTCTATACTGCTGCTGTTTTTGTACAGAACAGCATGTGGATGTCTTCCAAAACTGCTGTTCATCTGGCAGGTTATGACTAGGAATGTTCTTCTCTTCAAAATTAGAACATTGTTGTTGCAGCAAACACTCTTTTCTGTTTCATTGTTCTGCCCTGTTTTAATCCTGCAGTTGACGTGTTAGTGTCCTTTCTTGAGCACATTTGCCATTAGAATGAATGAGGTTCACAATCTTGCCACCTGTGATGTAAAGGAGCTGTCATTCTTAAGGAAGGATTGTTTCAAAGAACCCTTGAGTTAGGTACTAACTTGGCACAATAGAATTGTGCAATAGAATGCATTGGCACAATAGCATTGTGTTTGTGTGTGTGAGATGAAAGATGTCCTTTAGGAGGCTTGCATCACCCACGGACCATAGGCATTGAATGTTGGCAATCCTCTTTCCCACAATTGCACTTGTAAATGTCAAGTGCAGTCTTGGGAAGGATGAAATAATCTGTATATAGCATTGACTAGAAGAATGGATTTCAGCCTCTGAATTCTAAGTGGGCTGGGACTTCAATAGCTGGAATAGAGCTATTCTGTTTTTCTATTCTAAAGGTTAAATAGACTTGTTGGTAACACGTGGCAGCTGCGAAAGGTAGCAACTGACAGCAGGCATCCAACATAACCCATATTCCAAGGGAAGTACTGTCAGTTTCACAGAAAATTAACAGTTCCTAAAGCTACTGAGAACAAGCCAAAAGCTACTCCCCAGAATGGGACCACTCTGCAGAATACATGGAAGGAACATCTACAGATGAGTCCTGTTTCAGAAATGAGCAATTCTCGGGGTTTTCCAGGTGCAACAGAGAGGCATCTGCGTAAGATTGGATATTATCCCCATGTACTCATTCTCTCCCTGCCCCACCCCACTGCATAATGGAACTTAATCTGGTATCATGCTGTCATTACATTATTTGATTCTGTGCCGCCATTCCTCATCTTTGGCAGCCATTGGTAGTGTTATGATGTCATGACATGAGACAAGTTATGTTAATTCAGAAAGGTAGGATAGGCTAGATGCACAGCCGCCATTTTTAGTAGTAGCTATGTTTTTACAGCAGTGACTGTTAGCCTTGAATTTCCAGTGTACAAAAGGATTACACAGACCAGTTAAAACTCTATTCTTGGGGACCCTGGGGCTATTTCAGGTTCTTGTCACAGGTTCCTCAATGAAAAGATTGATCATGGGAAGCAAATATGTCTGCATCTATTGATCATTCCCTTCAATATAAGACAGTGAGGGAGGTGGCAGTACCAAGAGTGCTCCAGGGTCAATATAAGTTAAATATACTTCCCTAACAAGTCAGATTTGACCCATTTGATGCTCTGTAGTATTAATATGCCCATTTTTGTAAATAAATACACATATCCCAGCACCTGGAGGGATTTGCAGGGCAAAATTGACCCCTGGAGCCTCCAGAGTTGTCCACCCCATCTTTCCATTCAGTTGGGACAACAGCTAGACTCAACAGGCTAGTACCTGAAATGAACTCAAGGTTGAGTTACTAAGAACTTCCCAGAATCTTTTGCAGTGTGTAGGGGTTCCACAGCAGATGTACAGGTTCTAAATCAATATGGACTGTATTCCTTGAGAATTAAAAAAACTGGGATGGTTTGAAGAGCTTTGTCACTACAGTTTTCGAAAACCACAAAAAAGACCAAAATGATGTACATTTGTCATTTGGAGTCTTTCATCTGCAATTATGATTTTGAATATTGGTGCCAGCTGACAAATCTTTCATTCCATTTAGGAGATCATCTTTTATTTCTGCTTTTTTTCTTGCTTTGTTGTTGTTATCCTATTTTGCTTTTTCAAACATGTTTGGTGTATATTTTCAGTTGGCATTTGAGATTGTTTTTGAATGTTGTAGTTTTGGTTGTTTTTTGGAAACTTTGGCTAGAAAACAACATAGAAAGCTTATAAATGAATAAGGGACAATATTGAAGGAGTGTGGGATCTTATCAGTAAAAGTTCCAGCACGTCCTTTGCTAATGACCACCTGGAATGATCCTGCAGCTGGTATGTCAGCTGAGTGCATCTTTCCCACCTGTCATGATGTCCTACTGCCCGTGGGTTTTCCAAACATCCTTTGGTGTCTGTTTTGCTGCTAGTTGGAATCTCCTGGCCACTGCAAGTCTTCATCTTTGGAGCCAATGGATGAGGAGGAAGAGGAAGAAGAGGATGATGACTTGGATCTCTTTGGGGGCTATGATAGTTTCCGACGTTACAGCAGTAGTGGGGACAGTAGCAGCTCCTCCTGTCTGGACGACTCTAGTGAGAACGAAGCTGCAGATCGTGAAGCTGGGGAACTGCCTCCATCCCCTTCACAGATCCAAACACCTACCAGCCGAGTGCCGGATGATAATGGATCTGAGCCAGGTACTGGTGCTCTTCTCTGTGACAAAGGAAATCTGTAACTGATGGAAGATGAGGCAGCTTTCCCATGTCTAGAGTAGGGTAGGAGTTGGTTGAGGAATAAGTCAAAAGGATCAATTTTCCAATTAAAAAGGGGGAGGAAATGTGGCTGTCTAGTGTGCAATATTGCATGAAAGAGCAGCTAATGAGAAACGATAAACAAAGAAGGATTCAGATTTTAATTTTATGTATCCCTGCTCCCAAGCAAGCTTCCTGCTCTGTTTCAAATTTAGAGATGGTTTTTCAAAGAACATTTTTAACTATCATTCTTAAAGACTTTTACATGAAATGAAGATTAGTCATAGAATCTTCATGAAATACGAGCATGTACGATGTTAGTATTAAATTGTAATAGAATAGTCTTAGTTTCTTTTAAAACCACAATTGCTTTTTTTTTTTTACTAAAACACATTAGTTTAAATCAGAACTTAATTCTTTTTTTATTTCTTGTTTGTAAACCAAAAATTCTTCCCAGAAAACTCAACTTTTGTACTTTGAATAAATTTGATAAATAAAGTATATTCAAAATGCTGCATTCTTGATAATTGTATCCTGAAAAGTATTGAATTGTTAGTAAGAAATGTTGTGGTGAAATGAGACATGTGGAATAACTGAGGGCTCAATTGGCAAAGACAGAGTGATGTGACTGCACATTCTAGAATAAGAGCAGGTAGATGCAAACCCTACTTGCAGTTCCATACAATGGTTCCTACACAGTGGAGTATATCAGACTGTATCCTGCAACTTTTCATGATGGCCTCCAAACTGGGTTGGTGTTATCAGAATGGAACTGGATCCTATCACCAGTGTCTGCAGCTCCTCTTTCTGGCACATTCGCTCCCAAATTTTGCTGCTGAAATAAAAGTAATGTTTACTTCCAGCCAGCAAAGTTCCACCTAGTTCATTGCAGCTGGGGATCATCCAAATCAAAAGCAAATGCCTACCTTAGTGCTGCTGCTTGGAGCAACATTATGCCCAAATGCTTTGGAGCGTGGGATGTGCATGCATGAGGGTTAGATTATCCTGGTAGTTGCTATGCAGGGGAAGTTTCTTTGCTTGAGCATGATGTTCTCACCTGTGCTTGCTTTCCATTCATAACAATGCTGTTAGCTGTGTCTGTACTTTCTGTCCAACTTTTACAGATGTTGCCAAGGATCTGTGGTCTCTCTTCTGTTCTTTCTTGCAACTTGCTAGTTCTGATCAGATGTCAGGACAAGAGCAGTTGCTGTTTTCCAGCAGAGAGCAGCCTTTGTACCCCCCTGTATTGCTCTCTGCCCCCACTCCTTATGCTTTGCCATAGTTATCTGTCACAAAGGGAAGGGGCACACAGAGTCCTTGTCATCTTTGTGGAGGAAGCTTCTAGAAACAGTTGCCATTTGTAGCCCTGTACTTTCCTAATGGAACTGACTTGCTTCCTACTGCTGAGGCTTATTGTATTTGTGCCCCCTCAGCTGTCTGTGAGATGTGTGGCATTGTGGGCACAAAGGATGCCTTCTTCTCCAAGACCAAACGTTTTTGCAGTGTCTCCTGCTCCAGAAGCTACTCTTCAAACTCCAAGAAGGCAAGCATCTTGGCAAGGCTGCAGGTGAGCAACACCCTCTTAATGAGGCCACCACTTGATTAAACTTGGGCATGCATGAATGTGAAGGCATTGTTTGAAGGCGCTGCTTCCTGTGGACACAACTGTATGCCTGCCAGAGACATTTGAAAAGCCATTCTCCCATGAAGCAAGGGCTTTCAGTATGAGTAGGTATCTCAAAAGACTGCGCCTAGATAGTTCTAGTTATGTGGAAGTGCTTTTATGAAAGACAGGTTAGAAAAGCCTTAACTATATCTTGCAGTTAATCACCCATAGGGATTATCATATTACTAAAGATAATTTTATACAACTCATTTGCACTTTACCTATTGTTTCATAGTTCATACCATAATCACCTGAAGAGTTGCAAACAGGTAGATTTACTTCTTTTCAGTATATGCGTTTGTAGATTAGGAATTGTGGTTAGGGCTAAACACATGAAAGGCAAATAGCTTGTATAAGTAGCTCTTGCTTGGCATTTGCAACTTTTTTCTACTGAGGGCCATGTACCCTCATTGGTAATCCATTGAAGCTTGCATGTTGACGGGACAAGACCAAAAGTGGGTGGTTGTCCCCCTTTCCTTCTTAGGCAGGGGACTTCTTGGGAAGGGACAATTCACTCTTGCCTGAAGTGGTTGTGCGCAGAGGTAACCTGAATGCCTCAGGTGTCCAGCCCTGGAACACTGATTCATATCTACACCAGCAAATAATAGGAATGTAGAACTGGGGGTGATTTGCCTTTCCAGTTTAGAATAATAAAATGTGTGTGCATGTGCTTGCTGTATTAGGGGTGGCTTCTGTGAGGAGGAAGAGTATGGCATACTAGCTGTGATCAGGGCAAATTGGATGGTATGACATAATCCAAGAATAAAAGAGAGACTTGGCAGAAAATGAAGTTGTATAAGTATCTATAAATAATTAGTGCTTTCCTCCTTCCCTTCTCCATGTCTTCCTGTATATTCAGGTATAGAACATGCTCGCTGTTGCACTTTCTCTCTGTCATGCCATCCATTCTGAACACAGGACTAGGAAGGGCAAGAAAAGTGCTTTCTTGTTGTTCTCTAGTACGCTAGTAGAATGCTCTGAATCATGTACCTTTCTTTTAAGTTTTCATGCCAAGAGTCCCATGACACCTTTAAAGGCTTGCAAAGGTACTATAGCATTACATTTCTTAGTTCATGAGTGATTCTGTCTGATGTATCTCATGAGAAAGGCCTTAATCTACAAATCCCATGCTACATCTCATCAAAGACCCCTGACGAACTTGCTTTTAGCTTTGGAAGGCTGCAATATGTTTGCCAGTTGTTAGCAGTACTAACCAGAAGAGTTTCTTGTATTTGCCACAAATTGATTAGCAAAGCTACTCTTCTTATGGCTTGATAGCTTTAATCTATGAATCTTTATTTATTTATTTATTTATTTATTTATTTATTTATTTATTAAAACATTTCTATGCCGCCCCTTGCCGAAGCCTTGGGGCGGCTTACAACACAATAAAATACAATAAAATACAAAAATAACAATATAAAATTAACAATATAAAATAAATAACAATATAAACAATATTGGAAACAGCAAGATGTACCTCTCTTTTGCCTACAGGAAGGACTACTGGAAATTTATATCTTTTTGTGTTGTTATGCTTTCACAGGGCAAACCACCAACGAAAAAAGCCAAGGTTTTACACAAGGCAGCCTGGTCTGCTAAAATTGGGGCGTTTCTCCATACTCAGGGGACAGGGCAACTGGCAGATGGAACGCTAACTGGCCAGGATGGTAAGCGCAAGCAGAGGAAGTAAGCAGCTGGCGCTCACTTCACAGTTTGAAATAATTGAAGAATCAGAACTATGTGCATGGTAACAGTATTTCTGGTTGACTAAAATACCCCAGCTGAGAGATAAGAATGAATTCCCTTAACTGAAGGTTACAAAATACCCTAAGTTGAATCTTGGGTGGATCCTAGTTCAGTGACAATATAATTCTGAGCTTGTTTAGGGTCAGAAAGGGGCTCTGGGGGAGATACTTGCTTGGCTGTTCTGGAAGCAGTTACTTCTTTGTTTTAATGGAAATTCAGGCTACTCTGACTGCTCCTGATATTTTTTCTAGCAACTGTAGGTGTAGAGTTCTTTCAAACTTTATTTTTTTTCTATGTCTTTGCTGCTGCTGCTGCTTCAATGAGATATATATATTGCCCTACCTGTTCTTATGGCTGCTATATGGAATATTTTACAACCTTTACAATATTTTACAACCTAATGGTCTCTTGAACCTTTTTAGCTCTCATTGTAGGCTTTGACTGGGGCACTTACCTGCAGGACCATGGTTGCAAGGCTGTACCTGTTAGCTGTTTCAAACAGGTGAGCATTCCCTGCTTTCCTTCATACCCAAATGCACTCATTTAGAGAAGAGACCCAGGAAGAAGTACCAGGAAGATTTACAAGAAATGAAATACTGAATGTCATCTTGTAAATCAAGGATGAAGAACTCATCTTTTTCAGACTCTGGGCTACAGCTCACACCAGTAGCAGCCCACATGACCTATGGTTAGGAATGATCAGCGTTTTAGTCCAGTAACATCTGGAAAATGATAGATTTCTTACCCTTTCTCTGAATGGATCCCAGCTAGACATAGCAACCACCTTTAAAGTATAAACAATAAATTAAAAGTATGAAGACATTTTGGCTTTTACAGTTAATGTAGACATGGTGGTGTTATAGGCTGTATAATATAAATAGAATGTTTCTAGTAACTTCAAAATGAATTCAATTTTTGACATACCAGAATTCTCTTCATGCAAAAATGAAGTATAATTGTGGTGTATTTTAAATTAAGTATTTCAAAAAGAGAAAGTTTTAATGAACTGTTGAAAACTTCTACACTAAAACCTGCACAAATTGCTGTAAAATTATATTTAATTACCAGTAAGCTGTTTTCATTCTAGCAAGATAAAAAACCTAGATTCCATGAGTAAAAATATGCTACTCTTGACCGTGAAAACAAACATGAAAGCAGTCCATTCCAGATGCATCAGCATGGGGCATTGCCTTAGACTGAGTCAGACCATTGGTCCATTTAGCCAGCATTGCCTGTGATGATTGGCAGTAGCTCGCCAGAGTTTCACGCAGGTTTTTTCCCAGGATTGAACTCAGGACATTCTGCATCAAATGCGTGTTGCACGACTTCTGAGCTACAGTCATTTACTGATGGTCCTTTCCCTCTGCTTTCTTAGCCTTTAGCAAGAAATGCACCCTGCCCCTTCCCTTAGATTTGTCTTCAGTCATGAAGGCTGGAAACGTGTTTGAAATGGAAGCTAGGTCATACATCACCCACAATTCTCTATCGTGTCTGCCCTGAGATGCAACTCCCTCAACATCCTCCATAAACACTTGTATCATTATTAATTTCATCTCTGTACCCCTATCTAGGCATTTTATAATGAAGTATAACAATAATAAAGTACAATAGAGAAAAATTAACAAGAACTAACAATTTAAAATTTCATAAAATAACCTTAAAAGACAGTTAAAAAGGCCCAGCCAAGAATAAAAGAAAGGCACCTGGCTAATTATGTCAGGCCTGAATGACCAGGGTGGCCTTTAAAGACTTCTGCAAAGGGGGCTGTTTTAATCTGGTGCTGAAAAGATGGCAAATCTGGCACCAGGCAGACCACAGCAGGGAGGTTGTTCTAAAGATGGGGGCACCACTGAAGAGGCCTTCCCGCTAGCTGCCACCCTGAAAACCTCTCAAGGGGTTGGTGCCGGGAGGAAAGCCTCAGAGGCTGAGCAGAGTTTTCAGGTAGATTGGGGTTGCGAGAGGAGCTGCAACAGGTATTGCAATCCCAAGCCATGTAGGGCTTTATAGATTAAGACCAGCACCTTGAATTGGGAGTGGAAGCATACAGGCAGTGAGTGCAGGCAAGCCAGAGCTGGTTTTATATGTCTGGGCTTCCAAGCTCCAGTTATTAATCTGGGTGCCACATTCTGCATGAGTTGCAGCTTCTGAACCGTCTTTAAGGGGAACCCTATGTAAATTGTACTGCAGTAATCAATTTAGATATTAGCAGAGAATAGGTTACTGAAACCAGGCTATCCATGTTCAGTTAGGTGCACAGCTGAGCCACCAGCTGAACCTGGTAGAAAGCACTCCAAGTCACCAATGCCACCTGGGCCTCAAGTGACAAAGATGGATCAAGGAACACTCCAAGCTATGAACCTGCTCCTTCAGAGGGGGTACAACTCTGTCTTGAACAGATTGAGTCTGCCCCCCACCCAAAAAAAAAAAAATCTGGTCAAAGGAATCATCCACCAACAGCATCTCAATTTTGTCTGGATTGAGTTTCAGTTTGTAAGTCCTCAACCAGTCTATTATTGTATCCAAACATTGGTTCAGCGTGTCCACAACCTCACCTGCCAGTGATGAAAAGGTGAAATAGAGCTGCATGTCATCAGCATACTGATGGCAACACATGCCTGAACTCTGATGACCCACTCAGTGGTTTCAGGTAGATGTTAAATAGTATGGAGGACAAAACAGACCCCTGAGGAACTCCATGCTGGAGAATCCATGGGGCTGAACAGTATTCCCCAAGCACCATCTTCTGTAGACAGCCCTCCAAGTCGGAGCAAACCACTGTAACGTGGTGCCCCCACTCCATCCCAGCCAGCTGCTTCAGAAGGACACCATGGTTGATGGTATTGAAAGGCTCCAAGAGGTCCGGCTGCTGCAACTGCTCCCCTGCCACTCCCACTTTCCAGCTTTGCTCCGAACCCCAGCACACTGCTAATATAAATTATGCTGATAATTTACTACTCTTATTTATGCCTTATCTTTTCATGTATTGTGGCACCCATCCCTTCTCTCTCCCAAACATTTTGCAGGTGCCCCTTTATGAGCAGTGGGAAGATGTGATAAAAGGGATGAAGGTTGAAGTGTTGAACAGTGATGCTGTCCTTCCCAGCCGTGTGTATTGGATTGCATCCGTTGTTAAGATTGCAGGTGGGTCTCTTAAAGGGACAGCAGAAAAGAACTGGGATTCATTAGTTTTTTCTTGAATATGTATCTGCCTCTGCTTGAAGGCTTATTGGAAGCAACAACAGATATCAGTGAAACTGGAAAATAAACCTCCAAGAGTTTTTGGAGAGAATCGAGAGAATCACAATTTCACCTCTTTTGTTAATCTCCTCATATTTTGAGCTTTTCTGTTTTGACTCTGTCAGATTCCCTGGCCTACAGTTAACATTTGGTGGCTCTGTGGTCATTGTTTCCAGTTAGTTCAGAACTGTTGTGCATAAACCCAGTTCTTTGTGTTTCTAATGACTGGCTCTCCCACTGTCAGGAATTGCCCACATTGGGTTTCATCCAAGGGGTCATTTCCTTCTTCCCTAGAACGATAGCCCTCTTTCCAAGACCTTCCTTCTCTATAGCAACACCAGTCACTCTGACAGAGGGGTGCTGGTGTTATGTTCCTGAAGGCTTTGCCCATGTTGTCCCCTTCTTAATTTCGCCATGTCAGTTACCTTGCTTGCAGGGATAGAACCTGTTCCCTGAGATCCAGGAGCTCTTTGTATTGAGCACGTGCACAATTCTGGCCGGTGGCAGATAATCATACGTGTGACATGCCGTACAATACACTTGATAGCTAGAACATAAGGAATGCCAAGCTGGATCAGACCAAATGTCCATCTCATCCAGCATTCCATATGCACAGTGGCAGACCAGAGAAGCCACCAATTGTCTCTTCCTCCATGAATCTGTCCAATCTCTCTTTTTTTAAAGCCATCCAAATTGGTGGCCATTATCACATCCCATGACAAAGACTTCCATAGTTTAACTATACATTGTCTGAAGAAGTGCTTTCTTTTATCTGTCCTAAACTTCCCACCAATCAGCTTCATGGGATGACCCTGGGTTCAAATGTTACGAGATGGAGAGAAAAATCTCTCTCTTCCCACTTTCTCCACACCATGCATTATTTTAAACACCTACTAAGCAGTTCCAGTTGTAGCTGCTCCTCAGTGGGAAGTTGCTCTCATCCCCTGATATTTTTTTTGCCCTTCTCTGTACTTTTTCCAGCTCAATAATGTCCTTTTTCAGGTCAGGAAACCGGAATGGAACACAGTATTCTAAATGTGGTCATACCCAAGATTTGTCTAAGAGAAATACAATTTTGGCAGTTCCATTTTCTATTCCGTTCCCAATTATGCCTAGCCTGGAGTTTGCCTTTTTAACAGCAGGTGGGCACTGGACTGAGATTTTAATTGAACTGTTTGGTACTACCTCCCTTTACAAGATCCTTTTCTTGCTTTCCTTGCCAACTCAGATCCCATCAGCCTATACCTGAAGTTGGGATTTTTTGCCACAATGTGCATTACGTCACACTTGCTTATATTGAAGTGCATTTGCTATTTTAATGTCCATTCTTCCACCTTGGAGAGATTCCTTTGGAGTGCCTCACAATCCCTTTTGGTCTTAACTACCCTAAACAGTTTGGTGTCATCAGCAGACTTCACTGCTTGCTTCTAATTTCAGGTCATTTATGAATAGGTTGAAAGCCATTAGTCTTCCTTCAGAACGCTGTGGAACTCCACTGGTTACATCTCTCCATTGGGCGAAATTGCCATTTAGTCCCACTTTCTGATGCCTGTTCTTCAACCAGTTTGTGATCCAAAAGAGGACCCCCCATCCCTTTATTTTAAGAGTTCCCTTATTCCAGCTGGTTTCACACCTGTTTTTCTTTATTGTGTTTGTTTACCTAGAAAACAACATGATTCACTCTCAGGAAAAGAGTAACTAGATGTAACTAGAGTAACCTGAAGGAGCGCTTACATCCATATTTGCCCAGTCGCCCCCTGAGATCGGCGGGAGAGGCCCTTCTCCGGGAGCCCTCCGGGAGAGAAATTAGGAGGGTGGCTACTCGGAGAAGGGCTTTCTCAGCGGTGGCGCCTAAGTTATGGAATGCGCTCCCCAGAGAGGTCCGCTTGGCGCCGTCGTTATTTGTTTTTTGGCGCCAGGCTAAGACCTTTTTATTTAAGCAACATTTTAAATGCTAAATACAATTGAATTTTATCTGGCCAGGGCGGCTTATTTTATAATGTGTGTTTTAATTAAGATTATTTTATATGGATTTTAACTTATTGTTTTATCGATGTTGTAAGCCGCCCCATTCGCCGAAGCCTCGGGGCGGCTTAAAAATGTTTTAATAAATAAATAAATAATAAATAAATAAATAAATAGATGAGGGAAGAATTTTAAAAGATTTGGGACACACCAGGCTATGTTTCCAAATAGCAACATTTATTAGGCTGTAGAATAGCTTTCCAAAACTGTTGTGGAACTGTCTGGAGGCATCTAATAGTCTGAGAGAATGGAGGTTGTCTTGCAGAAATTATTGCTGTAATTGTCAGAAAAGAAGAGTGACAATATTCAAGATGTAATCTTTTTATTTTTCTTTTCTTCAAAAATCAATCTTGGCAGGATACAAGGCACTGCTACGTTATGAAGGCTTTGAAAGTGACTCCAGCCATGACTTCTGGGTCAACTTGGGCACTGTAGATGTGCACCCAATTGGCTGGTGTGCCATTAACAGCAAAATCCTGGTGCCCCCACAGAGTAAGTGTTTGGCATCTCACTCAGCTATGGGGCTTTGGTTAATTCACCATTGTGTTGCCTGTCTTTTACCTTCTATGGTGGGTCATACAGTTTGGATCTAGTGACTGTAAACACTAAGTTCCTTGCTTTGGAATATGTTAGGCAAATTGGAAATATTAGTATAAAGTACTTAATTTGTATGTCCGCTTGCAAATCTGAGAGTTCTTAAAATGTGATTTCTGTTCAGGGGATTGGGACAGTAGAAGGGAAGAAGAAATGGGTCTCAGGGTCTATAGACTGAAATTGCCCTGGCTCAGGCTTTTGCAAACCCTGCTTGATTTCTCCCTTTTATCATGTCTTAGCAAAAACTGTTGATTGCATGTTTCGTCATAACCGCTCATTTAACTAGCAGACTTTCCTTTTCCCCATATACTTCACAGACCTATGCAGTGTGAGGGCCACAGAGAATAGTTCCGTCAAAGAGAGATCAACACAGATTGGATGTTCATCGGATGAACATTCAAAAATTTGCTCCTGTATGAGTGTTGCTCATGTTCAACACTCTTTACTTTGGCCTATTCACCCCTTGGTGAAAAACCGCAAAAGCCAGGTATCTGGAGAACAGAATTTCCAGAGGCTGGGCCGGGCTTCAGTGCCTTACATAGTTCCTTGCCTCTCACCAGGGCTAGTGCAATGAAAGCAAAGCATGCAAAGGAAGCCAAGCAGAATTGGCTGCACATAGTGCAAAACATAACCTGGATGCAGTGTAAAGGCTTTACTTCAAGGTGACACACATCTGCTTGTCCAAAAGTTCCATGGAAAATTCAGAGCTAGGCCATGGTTGAAAAATCTGGGCTTGTTTTAGGGCAGTAGATGTTGGGGTGTTGATGCAGCCAAGGCCTGTCTTCATGAACTTTGCAGTATTTCTGAAAGAACTGAACATGCAGCTCAGAGTAATTCTTGGGGTGAGCATAACCCTTAAGGAAGCTTTAAGTTTAACCAGAAAAATAGAACAATTGCTGTTTTTAATTCTGTACACTCTTGCACGCACAAAAGGCATGCTACTTCAGCTTTCCTGTCTTTTTCTGTGCAGCTATCCACTCCAAATACACAAACTGGAGGGGGTTCCTCATGAAAAAACTTGTGGGAGCCAGAACCATCCCAGTGGATTTCCATATAAAGGTGAGGAAGAAAACCCTGTATATAGATGGAAAAACACTGACTTCTGCATTCGCTCAGTAAAATGTTCAGATTGGAAATAGGTTGCAAGTAATGCTTAGTTTCCACAGTAAGTTGCTAGAGTTCACATCTTCTTTGCAGCTTTGATTTGGTGAGATTCATAACCAACCTGGTGGGCAAGGTAAGGCGCTCTGAGCATGCTTGTGTGTTGCAAAACTGAGCCCCAGTTGGGAATCAATATAGTGTGGTGTAAAGCTGATAGATGCACTGGTAGTTAGAGTATATTAGCTGTAATGTCCTATGTTCATGCCATGGTGTACTCTGACCAAAATATTTTTAATAAGGAGTAACTAGAATCCAGTTGTTTTAATCTGTCACTGGCTTGCTTAATCTCACCATACTACTTTTCAGAAGTAAAAATGCACCATACTCCTTGCTGGAGAAAAGCTCCCCCTGGTGGCATGTTTTAGAAAGCATCCTTCGCTGGAAGAATTTTTCTTCAGAATCTGTGCCTCTGAATAGTGAGATGGCGGATTGAAGGAAGAGCTTTTGCGGGTTTCAGACTCCAAGTTTGTGTGTGCTAGCCAGCAGCATTGTTCTGGAGTTGTTGGCGGCATTACTTTTTCTCTTCTAGATGTTATTCTTGGAGGCTGAGTCATGACTACAGAGAGAGGCATGGAAGCCTGCTCCTTTATGCTTTTCTTGTTCTGGGTATTTTTGTTTTTGTTTTGAGACTGCCATGTTTAGAAATGAGTTATTAGACAGCAAACAGTGAACAAACTTTCCTCTGGTGAAAGCTTAGTGAATTGCTGCAGCCTGCTGGGCCTGAACAATATCATAAAACCTGGAACTCTGTATGAGTTAACTTGGAGTAAGTCCCATTGCAGTCTTTTGGACCTGCTTCTGTATAAGCATGGATAGGATGATCAGGCTTTTTATAATAATCCTTAGATTTTTTTTCTGTAGCATTTTGAGTGTTCAAAATCCTGTTTATATAATCTCAGCAGTCCTTACAATAATCTTGTAAAGTAGGCCAATATTTTTCCCATATTGGAAATTGGTTGGAAATCACTGGGAGAGAACCTTCCCCAGGAACCCTCCATGAAGGATATTAGCAGGGTAAGTACCCGGAGGAGGGCATTCTCTGCGGTGGCGCCCAGTCTATGGAATGCGCTCCCCAGAGATGTCCGCCTGCCGCCGTCGTTATTTGTTTTTCGGCGCCAGGCTAAGACCTTTTTATTCAAATGTTATTTTAATTGTTAATATTATTTATTTAATTAATTCTTGGCCAGGTTGACTCAAATTGTATTGTTTTTGTATTGTTTTTATATTGTGTTTATTTATTATTGTGAGCCGCCCCGAGGCTTCGGTGAATGGGGCGGCATAGAAGCTTCCTAAATAAATAAATAAATAAATAAATAAGGAAGGAAGGAAGGAAGGAAGGAAGGAAGGAAGGAAGGAAGGAAGGTCTTATCTGGGGCCATGTACTAAGTTCATGCCAGAGATGAGAGATGCACCAGGGCCTCCTGGCTTAGAGCTCAGTTTCCTAGTGACAACACCATGTGGATCTAATGGTGGTCTGGAGTTTTGACTGGACTTCTCATTTTCCCAAACAAACACACTGGTGTGGTATGTGATTAAGAGTGTTTTAAGACCAGGGACTTGATCGCGGGTCACTGCTCTGCCATGCAGGCCTCTCCGTGCTCCTGGACCAGTTGCACCCTCAACCTAGCCTACCTCCCAGGCTCCTTGTGAGGATGAAGGGAGGGAGAACCTTGCACACTGCCTTCAGCTTCTTGGAGGAATGGTCAGACAAAGTGTCAACGAGACTATAGCATGACCTAATTTATCTGAGTTAAAGCACTGAGTTAGGCAAAAAGGGATAACATAAATGGTGGAAGCGGGATGGGGAATCTGGATGGCAGAGCCCTGTAAGTTGATTTGGGGAACACAGATACTTGTAGTGTTACCAGATCCATGTGTCAGCCCACATTCAAGAAGAACAGCAAGGCTGCCACGTAGCAGAAGTGGAGGTAGCAGTTGGTGATTGGCCTCTGTTGAAGACATTTACGTGATGTGGAAGGTCACAGCGTTCCTTTTCTCATTTGCTCAGATGATTGAGAACATGAAGTATCCTTTTCGTCAAGGCATGAGAGTGGAAGTGGTGGACAAGAGCTGCGTTTCTCGGACACGGATGGCTGTGGTGGATACTGTGATTGGTGGTCGGCTGAGGCTTCTTTATGAGGATGGGGACAGTGATGATGATTTCTGGTGCCACATGTGGAGTCCCCTAATCCATCCTGTGGGTTGGTCCAGAAGGGTTGGCCATAATATGAAGAAAACAGGTGAGGTTTCACATAGGGCACAATGTTTCAGGGGTCTGTACACAGTGACAAGAGCCAACAAGCTACACGTAAGTTTTGCTCCTGTTAAGGACAGTTTTCTGGGGATATTGCTAAAGCTGTACTTGTTTTGTGGTCAAAGTTAAGTTTAAAGACCCTTTCATTGTTGGAAGAAGGAAAGAGTTCGGTTTAGTCTAATACTGCTGTTCATAACTCAACATGAGGATCTCAAATTGCTTTGGCGTAATGTAACTCTAATAAACAAGACTAGACAAACCCCTTTCCTTTGCTGAGGCCTAACTCAACTAAATTCTAACACTTTGCTTTGGATAGGGGAGCAGTTTCTGAAGTTCACTGCAGTCTGGAGTCAAAGAGATGTAGTTCTGTGTACTCCTTTCTTATTTAACTTGAGTATTTTTCCAACCAAGGTTTACCTCTCATTTAAGAATAGTGGGTGTGACTAAAACTTCTAGACTTGGGAATACTGACTCTAAGAAAGAAGATAATGATCAGAATCTCCAGAAACAGACTGCTAACACCCTTAATTTTGTTCCTAGATTGGCACCACCATCACTTTATTTTTTATTTATTTATTTTTCGATTTATAGCCTGCCTTTTTCCTACAAAGGGCTCAAGGCAGCTTACATCATTCTCCTTCTCCATCTTCTCCCCACAACAACAACCCTGTGAGGTAGGTTGGGCTGAGAGTCTGTGACTGGCCCAAAGTCACCCAGTTGACTCCGTGGCTGAGCGGGGACTAGAACCCAGATCGTCTGAGTCCCAGTCCCATGCTCTTAACCACTACGCCACACTGGCTCTCACACTGGCTTTACGTTGTATGCCGCTTTTCCACAAAATGTGTCCAAACAAGCTCACAAAAGAACACCCAGACAAAACCAGGAATGCTTCTCAATATCTCAGTTGCAATAATACACCCATATAAAAAATTACCACAATTATTCATTTCACTAATGCTAACATTATAAGGTTTTAAATTCCTTACAAATAAGCTATATCATTCTTTAAAACACTATCGATTTATATCACTGATACATAAGCCTGAGCCAGATACACCAAACTTTCCCAATAAGCCAAACAGCTCCCTAAAAAGTACCAAGTGTCAGAAAATGCTGCCAGATTTCTTAGAATCTGCAACATCTAATCCCCTGCCATTCTCCACTTTCTCATTCTAGGGTAGTTCTTAAAGACTCCAACACTGATTCTGCAGAGCAATGTTTAGCTTCTCCCCTTATGCTTGTGATGTTCCTACTGCTTCTGGGAACCTGTGGTAGTTGCAGAAATATATCTGGCCACTCAGGAAACAAAGCGCTTTCCCCTAAGGCAGAATTCACTGTGCTCCACTCTTTCCTTCTCATGCAGTTGCTAAGACCTCAACAAAGGCAAGGGAGGTAGTGTTTAGTTTCTTTTGTGCTCTGCATGATCAGCAGCAAAACTTCCAGTATTAGCACCTGATCCTGGCCTGGCCTGACATGGCTGTTTCTGGTGGTGTTGCAGGGTGGTGCAATGAAAGCAGCAGCAGCCTCTTTGTCTTGCACCAGTAGGAAGTACATATCTTTGCATGTGTTTTTACCAAAGAATTGTATTCACCAGCATCTGTTTGCTGTCATGAAATGCCCAGGTGCTACAAATGCCCGGATTCTGAAACTAATTTGCTCCCCACCTGTTAATTAAGTATTTTTGTATGCACTGATCTAAATTTAAGAATTCCATTCCAATAGTGTATACATACCTAAATAAAGTTGCTTCATTTTCTGTAGTTAGAATCAGAAGTTGATATCAAGTCACTAATGTTACTTCAATTTTCTTGTCAAAGATTATGAGTAGCTAGTAAACTTCAGGTGTTCCATTCCTCTTTTTTCCCACTGATATTTTTTTGTGCATTTTTATTGGAAGAAAAGTGTAATGACATGGCAAACCACCCTACCTTCCGGAAGATCTACTGTGATGCTGTTCCGTATCTCTTCAAAAAGGTAGGAAGACACAAGGGGATTTTATTTTCTTCAGGTTCGATCTTCAGGTGTTGACCTCTCTCTCCCCATCGCTGTTCCACCCTGGAAGTTGCTAGCTTCCAAAAAGCCAGGTGTAAAACCTCTGGCTGATCTGGGGATGGTATGGACAACCTGTCTGAGTGAAGGGAGATGGGAACAGGCAAGAAGAAATTGCGGGCTTGCTCCAAAAACATGGGAAAGGCTTTCTATGGCTAGAGTCATTTTCCTTTTGTAGGATTAGGGCAGCCTCCCTCAACCTGAAGCCCTTCAGACATTTTGGACTTCAATTCCTATTAGCCCTATTCAGCATGGCCTATGTATGTATGTATGTATGTATGTATGTAGAAAGCTTCTATGCCACTCCATTTGCCGAAGCCTCAGGGCGGCTCACAACAATAAATAAATAATAACAATATAAAAACAATATAATTGGAGATGTCCTGGCCAAAGATGTAAAATAAATAATATTAGCAATTAAAATAACGTTTTATAACGTTTAAATAAAATAAACAAAATAAAATAAAAAGGTCTTCACCTGGCAGGTGCCAGGCGAACCTCTCTGGGGAGCGCATTCCATAGATTGGGCACCACCGCAGAGAAAGCCCTCCTCCGAGTACTTACCCTCCTAATATCCTTCACGGAGGGTTCCCGGAGAAGGGCCGCTGATCTCAAGGGGCAGGCGGGCACATATGGATGTAAGCGCTCCTTTAGGTAACCAGGACCCAAGCCGTTAAGGGCTTCATAGGTCATAACCAACACCTTGAATTGGGCCCGGACTTCAATGGGGAGCCAGTGAAGCTGACGGAGAACTGGAGTCATGTTAACATAATGCCCAGTCCCCGTCAGCAGCCTGGCAGCTCTATTTTGAACCAATTGAAGTATCTGGGCTGTCTTCAAGGGCAGCCTCACGTAGAATGCGTTACAGAAGTCAAGTCGGGAAGTCACCAACGCATGTGTCACTGTTGCCAGGCAGTCGTTCTCCAGGTAGGGACGCAGCTGATGGACCAGCCGAAGCTGAAAGAAAGCACTCCTCGCCACCACTGTCACCTGAGCTTCCAGTGAAAGCTCTGGGTCGAGGAGCACTCCCAAGCTGCGGACCTTGTCCCTAAGAGGGAGTGCAACCCCATTCAGGACTAGGTCAAGGTCCCCTTCCCCGAAGCCCAATCCGCCAACCAACAGGACCTCGTCTTGTCTGGATTGAGCTTAAGTTTATTGGCCCTCATCCAGCCCATTACCTCAGCCAGGCACCGGTTCAGCACAGCCACTGCCTCACCTGGATTGGTAGAAAACGAGGGGTGGAGCTAGGTATCATCAGCATACTGATGATTCTGCAGCCCACACCTCCTGATGACCTCTCCCAGCAGTTTCATGTAGATGTTAAATAGCAAAGGGGACAAAATTGATCCCTGTGGTACTCCATGGCATAGCTGCCATGGTGCAGAGCCATAGTCCCCCAGCATCACCTTCTGGAATCGGCCATTGAGATAGGAGCGGAACCACTACAAAGCAGTGCCTCCAATCCCCAATCCCGCTAGCCTATCCAGAAGGATACCATGGTCGATGGTATCGAAAGCTGCTGAGAGGTCCAGGAGAACCAACAGGGACGCACTCCCCCTGTCTTTCTCCCTGCACAGGTCATTGTACAGGACGACCAAGGCAGATTCAGTACCGTACCCAGGTCTGAAGCCAGACTGAAATGGGTCCAGATAATCAGTTTCATCCAAGAGTGCTTGGAGTTGTCCCGCCACCACCCGCTCCAACACATTGCCCAAAAACGGGATGTTGGCCACTGGTCTATAGTTAGTGGCCATCTCTGGAT